GTCCGGGGACCTGAACGGTGGTTAGCCATATGGGAGTCCAACACCTCAACCACTGCACCACCTGCCAGACCCCCCAAAAACATACCTTTACATCATGAGCGCATTCTGTATTTTGTATTCAATCTGGTTCCATTTTTAATATTTCTTTTTTTAATAATTATTTTTTATTTAACTTCATTAATTTATTCATTTATTTTAATTTGACCAGAGAGGGCCAGAGTGAGAGAGAGAAAGGGAAAGTGAGAAAGCAGGCAGCCAAGTCCAAGACTCAAACTGTGATCGGCCATGTGGGAGTCCAGCACCCTTACCTAACATGCCACCTGCCACCCCCCTCCCATTTTTAATATTTCTAAGGTAACACACTAAATTGATTTTGTGTGCCACTAATGAATCATTCACATTTTGATAAACACTGCTCTAGGTTTCAAATCAACTATCTTTCCTTTTTTCTTTTTTTTTTTCTTTCCTTGTTTCTTTCGTTCAATTATTTTCAAGGAATTCGAAAAATTTCAATTTTGAAATTTTAAAACTGGATTGATTTTTTTAATGTTTTTATTTAACTTTTTATGCATTTATTTATTTTAATTTGACCAGAGAGGGACAGAGTGAGAGAGAGAGAAACAGAGAGAAAGTGAGAAAGCAAGCTGGTGGGTCCAGGACTCAAACTGCAGGTGACCATGTGGGAATCCAGTCGCCTAACCCACCATGCTACATGCTGGCCCCTGGATTGATTGTTATTGCCACATAAAAGAAATAAGAAAAAAAAGAAAAGAAATAGAAACTGCAAAGACTTAGAAAAGTGCTACTGTGATTCAGAAGAATCACATTCATTTCTGTTTTGGCTTGGCTTTTACTTTAATTTTTATTTCTTTATTTCTTTAATTACCGAAGAGCACATGCCCTCACCAGAGAAAGAGAAAAACCACCTCTTAATGAGGCGTGATCATGCCGTAATTCCTTCTCCACTTAGTCAGGATTTGGGGCATGCACACACTTGCACCTGGTATGTTTTTCAAGCTGCTGAGGTCAGGATTTGAACTGTAGTCAGCCATGTGGGATCAGGCTTTCTTAACCACTAGGTTAAGGGGCGAGCCCTGGCCTGGCTCTAAATAGCAGCTTCCCTGGTAAACTAAAGAAGCACTCTAATCTGAAGTACAGTGATCAAATTGCAGTGGATTTGCCAATACCCACAAGTGATGATCATGATCCACGTAATTATCTCTTAAGACATCAACCATAAATAAATAAATAAATAAATAAATAAATAAATGACATCACCTACATGCTCACTTTAGCTTTTTATTTTATTTTTTAAAATATTGATGGTTATTTTGGTGTGTTCTTAAAGTTCTACAATTGGTTTAGAGAAAAACATCATGAGGAGCTGAGTCTTGGAGGATAAGAGTTTCCTAGATGAAAATGAGACAAGTACTGAAACAGAACAGAAAGCGGTCCCAAGGCATCAAAAAGATGGGCCTGTCCATGAAAAAGTTTGATGTTTAGGTTGGCTGTGCTTCTCTAGGAAGAGTAGAAGGAAATAAACCAGACAGGTAGAATATGTCATCATATTTTAAGAAGTCAAGACCCTCCCTTTTTTTTTGCCTTAGGGCGGGTGCACTCACCGGATGAGAATGAAAGAGTGAGAGGGAATCCCTTCTCCTCCATTCACCTCCTGGAATCTTTGGCACGCACAAATATTTGCCCATCATGATTTTCAAGCCACCAGGCGGGGGACTCGAACTGCAGTCAGCCATGTGGGAGTCTAGTGACATAACCACTACACCATCTGCTGGCCCCGAAGCTGATCCCATTTTAAGTCAGTATTGTTGTAAGGCACAAAATGCAATCCCTTAGAGAAAAGGAACATCAGAGGCATTTTAGGAAGGGAGTTGACATGATGAAATTTAGCTTTTTAAAAAATAATTCTGACGACAATGGAGAAAATTAATTAATCAGGTTAGGGAGCCCAGTTAGGAATCTTTAGAAACAAAGTGCAGCCCACATGAGGCCTTATACTGGTGTAGAATAATAACAATAATAGTAATGAAATGAATAGAGCTTTGTTACTTAAGCTTTTCTTTTTTTTCTTTATATTATTTATTTAAACTCGAACCAGCTAGCAGCAGGGTGGTTGGGACTACTGGATCCCACCTGGCTGATTTCACAGCTCATGTCCTGACCAGAGGCTTGAAAAACATGCCAGGTACGGACTAGCAGTTAGCATAATGGCTATGTGGCTGGACTTCCACGTAGTTGACCACGATTCAAGTCCCGGACTCAATGGCTTACACTCATGCTGGGCGTTGGGCATGCGTGCCCAAGATCCCGAGAGGAGAATGGAGGAGAAGGGATTGTGGTGTGGCCATCCCCCCTGGGTGGGGGGTGATTTCTCACTTTCTGTCTCTCTGTCTCTCTCTGTCTTTCTGGTGAGCGCACGTGCCCTGTAGCAAAAGCCTCTCCAAAAAAAAAGAAGGAAAACATGCCAGGCATGTGTGTATGCATGCCCAGAATCCCAAGGGGATAATGGAGGAGAAGGGAGTGTGGTGTGGCTGTCTACCCAGGGGGTGATTTCTCTCCCCAGGCCTCTATCTGGCCCCATCTCTCTCCAGTGAGTGCACACACCCTATAGCAAAAACTAAAAACAAAACCAAAAAAAGCCCAATACTCAATCTGTTCTGTAGCCTGTAGCTAGTATATACCTATCCGTGATGTCGCTAGCATATACCTATTTACCAATGAGGGACAAAAGGCAGAGAAGGTCATGTGCCTTATTCAAAGTCACGTAGCAGACAGGGGCCCCAGAGTTCCAATGCAAATCCACCTGCTTTTGGAGCCCAGATAATGTAACCTTGTATAAATGTAGCCAGAGGCAAGGCTGGATTTGTGAGATGTTTCTGAGAAAACCACAGTAGCACAAAGCAGCAGCAGAATATAGTGGAGAGCAGGCTCTGGACTCAGACTACCTGGATTCCAGTCTGTGTAACTGGAACAACTATTTAAAGCATCAGAGACTATTTCAAATAGGCTGACTTTCAGACTCCTCTCTAAAGCAGATAATAACAGCACCCGAAGACTATTATTAAAGGCTGTTATTGTGACCAAACTCAAATCAGCTTTGCTCGCCCATGTGGTATAAAACCAAACTATAGGTACGTGGTCTGATGAAGGAAGGTACAGCTTCATTGCAAAGCACAAAGCAAGGAGAGTGGGCAGCTCATGCTGAATAAACCCGGTCTCCCTGAAAGACATTCTCCACATGTATTTTTAAGGACAAAATTAGGTGTGGAGGTCTCAGGTGCAAGAGCAGTTCAGTGATTGATTCAAGAGGGCATGATCATCTCGTGGGCATTTATTTTTTTTTTAAGAAATATGTATTCGGGACCAGCAGTTGGCGTAATGGCTATGTCGCTGGACTCCCATGTAGTTGACGTAGTGGAGTCCTGGACCTGGTGGCTTAAACTCACGCGGCGTTCATGTGCGTGCGTACCCAAGATCCCAAGAAGAGAATGGAGAAGAAAGGATTGTGGCTGGCCATCCTCCCTGGGAGGTGATTTCTAACTTTCTGTCTCTCTGTCTCTCTCTGTCTTTCTTGCCAGCACACATGCCCTATAGCAAAAACCTCTCCAAAAAAGTCAATAGAACAAGTTCACAGAGAAGTTATTTATTCATTCATTGATTTTATTTTGACCAGAGAGAGGCAGAGAGAAAAAGAAGATGGAAAGCGGGAAAGCAAGCCATCAGAACCAGGACTTGAACCATAGTCACCCATGTGGGAGCGTCCAGTGCCTTAACCACTATGCCACCTGCTGGTTCTCATCTCTGTGGGCATTCTTTTTTTTTTTTTTTGAGAGGTTTTTTGTTATAGGGCAAGTGTGCTCGCCAGAAAGACAGAGACAGAGAGACAGAGAGTGAGAAATCACCCCCCA